ATCCACAACATTATATATATATTAAAATATCTGTAGTTAACTCCTTGGTGGTTTGATCCTACAACATACTTATTTACGGATTTGCTGTTCAGTTAGTGATACCTGAAGAAGTTTATTGTATCCACAACAGTATATATATTAAAATATCTGTAGTTAACTCCTTGGTGGTTTGATCCTACAACATACTTATTTACGGATTTACTGTTCAGTTAGTGATACCCGAAGAAGTTTATTGTATCCACAACAGTATATATATTAAAATATCTGTAGTTAACTCCTTGGTGGTTTGATCCTACAACATACTTATTTACGGATTTGCTGTTCCGTCAGTGATACCTGAAGAAGGTTATTGTATCCACAACAGTATATATATTAAAATATCTGTAGTTAACTCCTTGGTGGTTTGATCCTACAACAAACTTATTTACGGATTTACTGTTCAGTCAGTGATACCTGAAGAAGTTTATTGTATCCACAACATTATATATATTAAAATATCTGTAGTTAACTCCTTGGTGGTTTGATCCTAGAACATACTTATTTTTATCTCATTCAGTAACCATTACATGTAATTTCCTATGCAGTTTTATACGATCTTCTCATTATATAGCCGCACAGTAGCAGATATAATAAATAAACTTAGCAGTCCGAAAATTATTTAACCTCGAAATCTAAGTGGAAATCTCCGAAACTGGTATATCCCAATAACACACGTTGATCAAAGTGTAGAATGAGCTTAGACTTCGAGATCAAACAATTTTGGGAACACTAAATTTATTTATTACATACCGTCTCCTTCAGAAAATTGGTTAGGACTGAAGAAGACACATGAAAGTGTCGAAACTAGTGTACTGGTTTTTGTTCCACAAGTGTGTTTTTTACGCTCATTCAACAAACATTATTACTTCTTGTTCTCCCCAAATAATAACTTTATTAATAACAATATTAATACAAATCACACCAACAGTATTCTGATATTAATACTTCTTTCTCTACCACCTTTAAACAACTATATTGTACCACATTAGTACTAAAAGTGATTCATTCGACATTCTCATGTATTATAACGTTTTTTTGGCAGGAAAATGAGGAAAGAAGAAAGCAGGAGGAAAGGATGAAACAGTTAAAACAACAGAGATTAACTCAGCAGAAAGGACGAAAGAAAGGTAAACATCATATCTTCTAAGAATAAACGTTATTAAATATAATATGGTTGTTTTTATCATATATTTTATTTTCATGTCTAGACACGATGCTTTTAACATGATGAGAGGCATTCTAGGGCACTAAACACTGTTTATTGTAAGTCAATGAATTTTATTGTTAATTGCAATGTTAAAACTGGAAAATGAACTGATATATGTAAATAAATATATTGTTAGAGACAGCATTAAAACTGTCAATAATATATTGTTATACAAGGTAAAACTAGAGAACATATTGTTAAATACATTGTAAAATCTTGATGAATGTATTGTTAAATACAGTGATAAAACTATGGTGATAATTCCTTCTAAACAGCATTAAAACTGCGGAGGTTTTTTCTTTAATATTTTATTACATATGAATGACTGCTGGCGTTAGATTATTTTGCATGTGAACAACTGCTGACGTTAGATTATTTTGCATGTGAATGACTGCTGACGTTAGATTATTTTGCATGTGAACAACTGCTGATGTTAGATTATTTTGCATGTGAACAACTGCTGGCGTTAGATTATTTTGCATGTGAATGACTGCTGACGTTAGATTATTTTGCATGTGAATGACTGCTGATGTTAGATTATCTTAATTTTAAAGAAAAATATCATTAGATATAACATTTCACATGTTTGGGTATCAACTTTTACTATGAAATTTTTGAAGGTTTAATAAGGAAAAGGGCTGAAATAAAAGTGTAAACAAACTAATATTCCTGTTGTCTTAACTATAAACTGAGCTATATAAGAGTTTAAAGGATATTTGTTAAGACGTGCCAAGAAAACTGAGTTTTGTCAATCATGGCTTTTAAATCTAATTGTCAATCCTGTATGTAGGCATACCATGCATTTATTGGTCTCTTACTAGATATATATATAAAAGTGACACGTATATAATTTCTTTTTTTGTATTATTCGTTTTGGTCTTGATATATTCAGAATGTCAGGAAAGGAAGTAGGTTCAGAAAATCAATTCAACACAAACATACAAAACTCTATAACTTTAAGTGTGGTTCTGTATATGTTTAGTTGCCTTCAGCAATTAGACTAAGTTATACTGTGTACGTGTGTGTAGTTTAATATAACTGATACAAATATAGTAAGTGTGGTTCTACCTGTGTTTAGTTGCCTTTAGCAGTTAGACTGAACTGTGTGTGTTTGTATATTTTCACACAATAGATAAATTCACAAGTTTCAAAAACAACTATTCTATAATACTTGTGTATTTGTTTTGGTTATAGGGACAACCAATGTATAATACTTGTGTATTTGTTTTGGTTATAGGGACAACCAGTGTATAATACTTGTGTATTTGTTTTGGTTATATGAACAACCATTCTATAGTACTTGTGTATTTGTTTTGGTCATAGGGACAACCATTATATTGTTACGACAGCGGAAATCACGTGACGCTTGAAGCATGCGCGCTGGAATTTCTAGAAGGATCATGACTGTTCCTGGCAACTCTAGTCTTTTCTTGGCGCCTTCTATTTTAGTATATAAGCCCGGCAAATAAAGCGGAGATATAATTGCAGATAGAGAGATAAAGAGGCAGATAACTGAGTCAAGCGAGCGGTAATGACCGTAAGTAAAGTGCGTGAATCGTTGTGAATTATCGCGTGTGTTTAAGTTAAAGTGACTGTGGAAATTCTGTGTATTGCAAAGCTGTATTGAGAAAGAATAAACTAGTTTTAAATAAAAAAGGACTTGTATCGCTGAAGTTTCTCGGAAAGAATTTCTACGGGGAATTATCAAACAAGCAGATACGTAACAAATTGGTGTCAGAGAGTGGGAAGGAAAAGAAAAAATAGAAATGAGAAGTGGCAAAATAAACTACAGCTTAACAGATTTGATGGCAGCAATACAATAACAGCAAAAGAGATGAGAACAAGAAGAGAGATTACAGCAGTTGTTGGAGGAAAAAGAAAAGAAACAAGAAGAACGAGAAAATAAACAAGAAGAGAGACTACAGCAGTAGTTGGAAGAGAAAGAAAAGAAACAAGAAGAGACTGCAGCAGTAGTTGGAAGAGAAAGAAAAGAAACAAGAAGAGAGACTACAGCAGTGGTTGGAGGAGAAAGAAAAGAAACAAGAAGAAAGACTACAGCAGTGGCAACTGGAACAAGAAAGGAAACAAGAAGAAAGTCTCCAACAGTTGCGGGAAAGTCAGCAGCAACTACAGGAAAGTCAACAACAGTGGCAAAAAGTACGAATGGAAAACCTTAGCCCCTTCCAGACCCCGCAGTTAAACCCTAATGCAGACATCTTCAGTCCTGTTAGAAGTCACATCCCAGATATGAATGTCAGTAATAGGGGTGATCCGGTATGAAGGAAGCCACAGGAATTCGATGGGAAGACCGTGGGAAGCATATAGAGCACAATTTGAGCTACTGACAGAGGAGCAGAAGGCAGTATACCTTGCAACGAGCCTGAAGGGACAACCACTGGAAATACTTGGACAGTTGTCAGCAGACGACAGGCACAACTATAGAGCACTGGTAGCTGCTCAAGAACTCGGGTATGGAACTCAAAATCAGTCCAAAGTCTACAGGGCTAGGTTTATGACTAGAATCCTTGCTAAAGGGGCTAGCCTGCAAGAGCTGGCACAGGATTTGGAAAGTATGGCACAGAAGACCTACCCGACTGCGTCACCCGATTTTCTCAAGGTTTTG